TTTGTGCTTAAAGATATGTTTGTTTAAGGATTTTCTGGGCGTGCTTTAAAAGGCGGCCGTGTGACGAAACGCAGCCGCCTTAAACACAGCCCTGGCTTAACCCCGCCCCCGCTGTAAAGCGCCCTCTCCGCGAGCCACCTTCGCCCCCGAGCCCTTCCTTGCCGACCCAGGGCCGGTAGCGGCGCACCGCCTGGAGGAAATGCGCGAATGAGTTAGGGGTGTAAGAAAATATCGATACACTGAAATATCGCGATATTTCATTTCCCAATACTGTATCGATATTCTAAAGCCCTGTATCGATTTTTTTATTAAGGTTTAAAATGTCAACTTTCATGACAGCCATTCATTTTTGTGTTGTAGTTCAGCCTCCGACCACTAGTTGGCAGCAGTGAGCCAGCCATTTGGCTCCTCTACCTCTTGAGCGCCAGAGTAAGAGAGCATTAGCATTGTAAGTAAACATTAGCTTCATGCTCTGAAAGCTGAATCTGAGCGGAAAAGACCGACACCCTCTGCCTTCTAAGCTGAAGTAAGGTTACAAACAGTTACTTATTTGTCAGAATGTCTGTATTTTAAACCAAAGTATGTGTCTTGTGCGCTCTTTTTTTCAACTGTAGTCAGGTTTCACGTTACGCATATAGCGCATGCGTCTTATCACCTTGAGCGAGCTCGGCACTCCCCCCGTGACATAAAACTCTGTCCGTTGCTCTCATTAGCTATGTTTACATGGACAAAATAATCGGATTAAACAACCGTTTGGAATAAAAATGCATCATGTAAACACTTAATCGGATCATCTTATTCTGATTGTAGAAAACTGAACTGTGTGTGCATGTCTGCTGACTTTCATTCACCCGGTGGGACAGCAGCGCTCCAGCTGCTCTGCACACCACACAGAACTTTTCCTCCTCGCTCTCTTAACAGATGAAAAATGAGGCAAACAGCCGACGTTGCTACGCAAAAAATAAAAAATAAAAAGCACGTATTGCTTCATCTGCAGGCTGCAGCTCAACCGAGGAGTAACGACGTCTCTACCGTTATTAAAAGCTGACACGGGTCCGTCCTGAGCGCACAGAGGAGCGTTGTTTACGTTTGTAACACAGAAGTAGAGCTGAACGTTTACAACACTGCGCATGTCCGGACTTTTATTCTGAATAAAACTCHGGTGCATGTAAACACTTTTCATGATCGGATTGTGTCCATGTCAACAGTACATTCGGATTATTTAATCTGAATACATTTCAATCCGATTAAAACATTTTTCTGCATGTAAACATAGCTAATGTCCGGCTGATGATCGCATCAAAGTCCATATACTTTATCCTGCTGTGTTCACTTCAAAAACGGTTTAACTCGTTTAGCTTCTCAATTTCTNACACAGGAGACAAACCATTTCCTTGTGATGTTTGTGGACAAAGAAATCAGTTTCACTGTAAATATTAAAACAGTTCCTACATGAGGTCCCACAGGAGTTATATGGAGGACTTAAATTAACATAATTAATAAAGGGGGTTTTACAGGCATATTTTTAAATTCTGTAACATAATAAAGTAATTATTTCACCTTCTGTTTTATTAAAGACCGTGTAAAGTAAATTTTAACATTTTCTTCAGTAAACATTATAAATGTCACAATTGCATTGTTGTAAATGAGTAAAAAGTCTCACAGCTGTAGATACTTTAATTTGGAGGTATAGATCAATTTGTGTTGAAAGAAATGTTTGTTTCAGGATTTTCTGGGCGTGCTTTAAAAGGCGGCTGCGTTTCGTCATGCGGCCACCTTAAACATAGCCCTGGCTTAACCCCGCCCCCTATTGCTCCAGCAATATAAAAACGTTCTTCGCCTGGGTCGTTGCTGTTCAGTTTACTTACTAATCGCAGATAACATCAGATAGCAATAGCATAGATATTTTGTTGTTGTTAGCTAGCTAAACAATTCCCATTTTACTCGAGATAGTTTTACTAACTACCTGGAGACACAGTTAGGATTTATGGACAGTCGTTTGGTGCTGGTTCATGAGGCTCTACCGACCGCCTCCCTCCCGGACTCTCCTCCCGACATCGCTGCTTCTCCTGCACCTGACGGTGGGATAATGCCTCACCGAATAAACGTAGTAAGTTGCTGTTTGTGCTTATATTGTAAATATTCCAAGTGTTGGCTATTTAGTGCATGATTTGGGTTTCGGGGGACCCTCCGACTCGCGCACGCGTTAGACTCCATGGTCCGTGTTTCAGGACGGGTCGGGTGGGTAGCCAACATCGCCGCTGACTTCTTGCGCCTGTTGTACGAGGGCCGCTCCCCACGCGATCGGGGCGCACTGAGAACAGTCCGCTCCGGTCGACAGTCGTACCGGGGCATAGGGGCCCCGTCCCTTGTCCGTGGGGGACCGCGGGGAGAGAGGGCGCAGCGAGGCACTGAGTCCACGGCACCGGGAAGTGGCGAGGTCGGAGCGGAGAGGCCTTCGCGAACATCTCCTCCTCAGTACAGGACACGGACACAGTGACGCTCAGCGCGTGGGAGTGGTTTCAGTGCCTCCAGCTGACACGCCCCCAGCGTTTTCAGAACAGAGCCAATGATGTTTTTCATTATTTTTGAGACTTAATTTCATAAAGTAAACAATGTTTTTAATCAGTCAAATTTAGATTAGTGATTAATAACACATATTTCTGTCATGTGACAAACTCAAAACACAAATTTAATTTTACTTTACATGGTCTTTNTTTCTGGACATTTATGGTTTGATTTCTTTGTATGTATGGATCACTTGGGTTGTTACCAACATCTGGTGAAAATTTCATGTCATTAACACCTCTAGTAATATATGTACTGAGAAAAATGTTGACGTGTTCAATACTTATTTTACCTGCTGTATGTGTATGTTTTTTGTTTGTTTTGTTATTATCACAAACTGATAAGACTCTGAAAAACAGATGAAGTGGTGAATAGGGGTAGGATTAAATAAGATTTACTTCTTCCCACCCCTTTTCAGACATGTTAATGGGATTCTTGTGCTTCATATGAGTGTATGTACTGGGGTAGGTGTACACAGATAGTTGTGTGCACATCGGGTGCATATTTACTTTATGGGTATTTGTGTAATTAGTCTAAGTGATTTCATATTTTGTAGATATTTGAAAGGGTATATTGAGATATATAGATTCAGACTATGCTTTATGTAATGAATTTGACATGTCTGGAATAAATCATAAATCAAATCAAATATCCGTGTCTAAACGCCTTGAAATTGGCTGTGAAGCAGAAACTCAGTGTAGTTCTCTCGGCATCTGAAAATCCATTTCTTCAAAAGTATTTTTAATCTTAAAAGGACTGAGAADTAGTATTAGGAGCTCAGCAGACGTGGTTTCACAAGGTGTTTGCTTTGTTGCTGATGATAGGCTGATGATAGCCTGCAGGAGTCACAAGCGAGCCGGGGGTGGGGGAGGGGTGTTCTGTGATGAGGATAATCAGTTTGGAGACACAGTCCAGAGAAGGAGCTGGTCCCAAAAGGTGGTTTTAGGCCCAACTGTACATTTTTGCTCTCCTGCATGGCTGCCTCAGGACACTACAGGATTTCTCAAACATGCATGGATGAGTCAAAGCAAGACTGTTTTTGATGAGAAGATAACATGATATAAAGCTCAAAAAGTTCATTTTACATAATATTGCCCCATTAATAAAAGCAGGAATATATAAAATAACTAAGAAATTAATAACCTTACAATGCACCAATAAAAAATTAACTTCATCTGATTTTTTATAATTTATTTAATAACTTATTTTGCCAGCATTTTTCCATGAAATGATATATTTCAACACGTAATTTACATTGTTTTTTAGTGTTTATCATTTTATAAGTTTTTTTTACCACAAGTCTTTTTGTTTTCACATTTTAATTTGACATTTTTTGTCTCCTGTATTTATTTTTCATTGTGAATTTCTGCCTCATTATGTAAATAGGTGGGCAGGTCAGCTCTTCTCCTGGTCAACAGGAAGGAGCAGGATATATGTGCAGATCTACTGTGCATGCTTGTGCCTCAGTTTACTTTAAAGTTTAAAGTTTAGTTTAAAACAATGGCACAGATAAGTGTTTTCCTCCTTTCCTTAGTTTTAAACTAAACTTTAAGGTAAATTGAGGCACGTGCACAGTAGATCTGCACGTACTGTATATCCTGCTCCTTCCTGTCTGTTGACCAATAGGAGAGGAGCTAACCCAATAAGGACTGCCCACCTTGTTTACATAATGAAGCAGAAATGCATAAGGTAAAGTAAAAATAGGAGACAGAAATGTAAAAGCAACACATGGAAATAAAAAGACTAGTGGGAAAAAATAATTTAATTTAATCATTTAACTAGCTTGACTGAAATTTCAAGATCCTGAGGACAAACCCCCTCCTTCTTCTTAGCAATCTGAGGGCTATTAGTGGCCTTTTGTTAGACAAATTCCTGCAGGTAATCCAGACACACCCACCACGCCCACCACGCCTCATGATATTGTCACATTGTTTCTCAAGGGTTAGGGTTAGGGTTAGGGTTAGGGTTAGGGTTAGGGTTAGGGTTAGGGTTAGGGTTAGGGT